GAGGGGGTCTGGGGAGGCACGGAGGTGTGGGAGGATCGAGGGATGCGGGGACACGGGGGGGTGCGTTGGGATTTGGGGGCTGCATGGGGAGCGGGAGGTGTGGGGGGACCCGGGGGGGCGTGGGGAGATGAAGGGGGACTGGAGGATGTGGGGGGACACAGGGGGTCGCAAAGTAATGCTGGGAACCTCGGGACGTGGGGGGATACTGGGGCTGGGGGAGCTCTGGGGCCACGAGGGGACGCGGACAGAGGCGGGGAGATCGGGGGGGACACGGGGACATGGAGGGGGAGCGGGGCACGTGGGGGCTGCAGAGGGGCGGGGGTCCCTTGGGCTGGGGGCACTCAGGCTCTGCTGCCCAGCCCCCCCGTCCCCCCGGGCAGCACCCCGCACATCTCCGCTCCCCGCGGATTTCCCCCCCCCCTCCCGGCGCAGCGCAGCGCCCGGCCCCAGATTTACGGCTTTTATTTCGCAGGGCTTAGCAGACATCAAAGCGTGGGCTCGGCCTCGCGCTCCCGGCCCTGCCCGTCTCCCTTATTGATGGCAGCACCCCAACGCGGGGGGGGGGAGGGAGGAGGAGGGCGGGGGGCTCCGCCACCCCCGGCCCTAATGGGGAACTCATGGCCGGAGCGCAGCCGGGGGGCTCCGTTGGGCCCCTCTGTCAGCCCGCTGCTCCTCCAGCCCGTGCGCCTCGTTAGGAGGGGTGGGAGGAACGTGGTCCGGAGGGGCTCGGGTTGGCTGCGCTCCCCCAGCCCCCTCCCAGCCCCCTCCCACACTCAGCCCTGCAGCCTCGTGTCCGGCGCCGGTGACAAATGGCGAAGTAAATGGGACAGATTGGGGACTGCTGCCGTAAATCACAGCGCGGTGCTGCAGGTGGGTCCCCATCGGCTGTGGGGCAGAGCTGGGGCTGCTGCCAGCCGGGGGGGGTGAGGGGGTAGGGAAGGGACGGGGGGGGCACAGAACCTGATGGCCTGAGCGCTGGTTGTGCCAGCATTGGGGCAATGGGGCACCGGGGGCAATGGGGACAATGGGGGAAAAACCGGGGGCAATGGGAGTAATGAGAGCGCTGGGGGCAATGGAGGCACTGAGGTTACTGGGAGCATTGAGGAGGCACTGGGAGCACTGGGAGCACTGGGAGCACTGCCAGAGCCTCTCCCCACACTGCCCGCCCTCTGCCTGGCACCGTCCCACACTCTCAGCCCCTCCACTCATATTTTAATAGAAAAAAAAAGAGCCCCTCCCGGGCATTAACACCACAGTTGGCAAATATTGACTGCGGGTGACTCCCCCCCCCCTTGGCAGTCTCCAGAGCCTCTCAAGGCCTTTTGCATTTATCACAGTGACCCACATTCCTCCCTGCAGCACCATGTGCCCAATTGGGAGCGGTGATGTCCCCGTGGTGCCCCCACGGCCCCCCCCAAACCCCACTCCCCATTATGGCTTTTTCCCATCGGCGTCGGCGCTGTGCAGGCGGGGGCTGCGGGGTGGGGGCGGCACGGAAGGGGTTAAAGTAGTTATAAATTACCCGACGGACGGACGTGGAAATGCTACAGAGAGGAATAGAAAGAAAACTCGGCCCGCTGGATTCTTGGCATTTCCAGCCTCTTTATTTGTCCCACAGGTCACTTTAGAAGGATGCAGGCGGTCAGACAGCTTTGCTGCGCCCATCCCTGGGCTGTGTTTTGGGGGGGGTCTGCGTTGTACACCCCGACACCCCCCCGCAGCCACGTGTGCCCATGTCTGAGGAGCGCCGCGCTGTGCTGGGAGTCACGGATGGGGTTCGTGCGGGGGGACGCGCTGTGGGGAGGGCGACGTTTTGGGGTGACGTTGGGGAGGTGACATTACAGGGTGACATCGGGGGGCACCCATGGCCGCCAGCCCCACTCGGTGCCGTGGGCAGAGCATTGCACACTCAGCGCTGCAAAGGTCACCGCCAAAGGGCAGCGGCTCCATACGGAGCTCCGCTGACTCAGACGGCGCTGCTGCGGTCCCGCTGCGCCCCGTCCCCACACCGGGTGTCACCGCCCCGCTGCCGCCTTGACCCCATCCCGCTCCCTGCCCCGCCCTCGCCATCCCAGCGGTGACACGGCGGTGCCCCCATTGGGGTCCTCTCCTCAGCACCGCCGTCCCCTCCGTGACACCGTCACCCCCCTCACCCCCTTCACCCACAGGGACCCCACGCGGCCCCGCTCCGGCTGCCCCCCCCCCCCCGGCGCTGGCAGGCGCAGAGCTGGGGCGGCACTTTCCCATGCTGGGTGTCTCCCTCAGGCTGACATTTTTGGGAAATTTCAACGAAAACACTTCAGAAGGTTCCAACAAAACGGGACGATGGGAAAAGGCATTGTTTTGTCTCTCTCTCTCTCTTTTTTTTTCTTCTTCTTCTTCTTCTTTTTTTTTTTTCTTTTTTCATTTTTTTCAATCTGTGCTGCCCCTTCGGATGGGCTCCAGCAGCACGCTGCTTCCATTCCCCACGGGTATCACCTCTGTCCCCACACGACGTCACCCCGTCCCTGCGTGGCGTCACCCCGCAGTGCCAGCCCTCTCCCCTGTGAGCAGCACAGTCACACAAGGGGGGGCGGAGGGGGGGCTGAGCCTAACTCTCACTGCCACCCCATGGCTCAGGTGTTCCCTGTCACAGATCCTGATTTCCTTCCCCATCCCAAGATCAGAGTCAGGGCCAGGGGGTCCCCCCCACGTCCCCTCCTCTGGAGGAAGGGTTGGGGACGCGGTACGGCACAGGTGTCCCCCAACACGAGGGGGGGTGGCTCCTTGGGCCCCCTCTGCCCCATCCACTCTGTGCTGCTGCATGGACACACGGATGGGGACGGTGCCACCGCCGGGAGCTGCCGGCCCGGGGCTCGGTGCCATCGGTCCGGTCGGGGACACGAGCGGTGTCACCTGCGGCGTCACGGCCGCCCACCGCTGAGTCCTCGCGTCCCCGGGGACACGCGGAGCCCCGACCCGACGGCACCGCGGAGACCCTCGAGGCATTTTCTCCCCTTTTTGTTGTTATTGGAGGAGAACCTCGGGGTTATCTCGGGGTTTAGGGGGAAAATATTCCACAAAACAAAACCAAACCCAGAAAACAGCCCCGAGGGCTCCACCGCACCGCGCGGGGATGAGCGCGGGGGGAGCGGCCCCGGGGGCGCGGGAGTGTCCGGGCGGCAGCGCTGAGTCACGGCGGGACGGGACGGCTCTCCCCCATCTACCGGCCGGGGGGGGCATCGGGCACAGCGCATCCCGCGGCGGAGGGGCGGCGGAGGCAGCGGGCACTGGGGGCACAGAGCCGGCACCGGAGCGGCCCCCGAGGACCGGTGCCTTTCTGCCCCCCGGGGGCGGTCCCGGGCCGGGCGGGGCGGGGCGAGGGCGGCATTTAGGGCTTTGGCAGAACGGGGGCTGCTCAGACTTGTTCGCGACTTCCCCGGACGTGCCGGTGCGCTCCGCCGCCGTGGGCACCGACGGGCACCGACCCCACCCCCCCCCCTATGCCGGCCATGCCGGCCCTTCTACCGCTGCTGTTGCTGTGCCTGCGGCTGCTCCGCGCTGAGCCGCCCGCGTGTGAGTACCGCCCGGGGGGGTCCGGGGGGGCCGTGCCAGAGCGGACGCCGTCGGGGCTGGGGCTGGGGTTGGGGCTGAGGCGGGCGCTGCGCGGGGACCCCCGGCTCCGTGCCGCCGCTCTCCTCCCCTCTCTTCTTTCTCCTCTCCCCCTTTCCTCATTCATTCCGGTCCTTGTGCCCCCC